AAGGATAGAAAGTTACGAAACCCAATATCCAAGCGAATGAGAGCCTGAGCACAGGAGAGAAATCTTAATTTTCTGCGTTCAGAGCTCATGCTCACCAGCTCGCGCGCCTCTCATGGTGCTGATACTAATTGGACGGAGCTGGAAGGAGAGATATGGCATGCATCTTTAATGAAGGGCCCCTCAGCCCCCCAGCTCCCTCTCTGAGTGCCTGGCTCCGGGAGTACGCTGTGCTTCGCCGCGACTGCGGGCCTCAGCAAAATGAGGTTCTATTTTCTGCTGCTTCCTGTTCCTCGTTGCTGTGTTGCCATGGTTACGGTGTTAGCCCACGGAGTGCCGCTTCCCGTCTCAGTTGAGGCTGGATGGGGTTATCTCTCTCTCGGTCTCTTACGGCTCGGGGTTTTTTTTTTTTCTCGTCATGCTCCACTCCTCTTCCTGCTAATATTTTCCTGCAAACATATCGGGTTTTGGCCCCTACCCGCCTTGTGCGGTTTACACCTTTTCAAAATGCATCTATATACCTGTGTATCACCTCCGTGCAGAGAATGCGACCGTGGTAGGTATTGCTGATCAGATGTCCTCTGAACCGTGGACCATCATTTTCACTGCACATTGATTGCTGCTGTTCGGCCCTGAGTCTTGGGGATCGTATCAAAACACATACACACGTTTGTATTTGTATCTTTGTGGGGACTCTCCATTCATTTCTATGGGCAAAACTGTAATCCCAACAATGACGACTTTAACCCTTACCCAGCGCTAACCTTAACCTAAAGTAACCAAACAATATAAAAAAGTAATATATAAAAAGTCTTTCAGCTTTTTTAATTTTTTGATTGTAGTCACAGATTTTTATGAAATTTTGTTTCCCCTTGTGGGGACTGAAAAGCTGGTCCCCACAACATCATAATAAGAGGTTTTTATCACACTGTGGGGACATTTGGTCCCCACACTGTAACATATACATGACCCAGAGACACACGCAGTCACACAAACAACAGGTAGGTGACGCAGCCCAGCTGCACTCCTCAAAAAACTTCCCGTAACACACAAAACTGGGTGTCGGGGGCCATGTCGATTTTAAGACTCGGTCATGGAAAGTCTGCTTCTGCAGACGCACTCATCTGGTGAACAAAATGTGCAGCAGAAGCCTGGAACTTTCTCTCCATAAACGGACGGCTCTAGGAAAAAAAAAATTAAAGTATGGGGCCATGCGAGAGGGCATGCTCACGAGGCAGGCGTCGGCTCGCCTGATTAAATAAAACTGGAGAAGTAAAAACAAGACTAATCCCAAGACTGAAACCCCACTGAAGAAGAAAATGTTCAGAGAAAAGCGGCAGAGATTAAGCTACCGCCTTTAAAAGGACACGCGGGTAGTTATATATTTTCACAAAGCACAAAGACCAACAGCAGGGGCTAAACTAGGCTCGTGGGGGTTACATACATCCTTCTTTCTTCTGGTAATCATTTCTCTGGCTTAATTGGTCCTGTTTGTACAGTTAGTACAATGTGTACCTATGTGTCATCCCAAAACATGGAATTTGGATATGTGTGTGTGTGTGTACATGTATATATATGTAGTACTGTGCAAAAGTCTTAGGCAGTCATAGAAAATTATATTAGTGTAAAACTTTGCTATAATGTCTGTCAAAGTGTCTTAGCTTAACCATCTGAAAACCTCTGCTAAAGTCACTCCACCATTTGCAGCAACCAGCCAAAACACCCGTGCATATTTCTCACTTGACCACTAGCACAGCGCATATGGCTAATTAATACCTCACTGACTTATTAAACAATTTTAAATGAATTAAGTGAGCTTGTGTGAAATTGTGTCAGTTTTTTTTTTTCCTGGGCAGATATGTATTTATTATGCAGTATTTTTGCACAGTACTGTGTGTGTGTGTGTGTGTGTGTGTGTATATATATATATATATATATATATATATATATATATATATGCACACATTTTTTTTCTTTCATTTTGAAAAATGGAGGGGTATTTGTGGAGGGAAGTGGCCATCAGCTTGAGTCTGCCAATAAAAAATATCATTAAGCTAATTAAGCTTTTAAGGGAGAGATGCACAGTGATGATGGGCTTCTGGTAATATGACAGCTGATCATTCAAAACAGAGTCAATGTTTGGCAACTGAGTATTTATTAAATGGCAGAAGAACGGATGTTTGAGATGGTACGGTGAGTGACGGGCCATCTCAACTGTGCAGAAGGACATTTCTAACACCCCCACAATGCAATAAGCGGGGGACGCATAACTGAAACCAATAACACAAAGGAATTCAGACTGAGCGTCATATGCTGAATATTGCATATCAATTTAAAGGGGAATTTAAAGACCTTAGGAGAAATAAATACAGCCAGATATGTTTTGGGGGTGTTTACGGATGCGGCCTTCCCTTTAAATGACCTCATCCTGAGCAACAGCACGGGCTAGACCAAGGCTCAGGACCTGCGTATCAAGCTACTGCTCAGCAGTTACAGAATACCTGAAAAAACAAGCACTGCTCTTTAAGCATTCATTACATCTCATATACACATTTGTTATAAACATTGAATTCCATTTTTTTTTTGGACAAAAGCCTGCCAGTTGAATTTTCAGACACATCCGTCATGAACTGAGTACATAAGAGATTGCCTGAGAGTCAGTATTAAAAAGAGGAAGGGCTGACTGTGGCTGTGCTGCATTCTGCTGCGGGGGGGGGGGGGTCTCAGTCGTCAGCACGCGCCACACGCCCCTCCATCGCGTGAGTAAACACGTAAGTAAGATCTCACAAAGTATGGCTGCCTAGTGGCCTACTTTGTTATTTTCTTTAATATTTATATATGACCAAGTTGAGCAGCTGGAAGATGGATGGATTTAAACATGGGAGGAGTTTATTTGAATCACTATACAGCTACACTATACAATTTTTGTTTTTTTAAACAAATTTACAATACACGAGTGATTTTTGGTTTTTGGTCTTAGGTAGAATGGTAATCTGAAAAAAAAAATATTTGTAGAATTATTCAGTCTTATAATTCAGTGCCAGTTATGGTAAATGAATTGGTAAAAAAAAAAGGCTTTAAATGGTTTCATGAATGCAAATAGATGTTTATGGACTTTTACTCAAGTATTTCTACTCAAAATGAAAACCTAGTACCTGTGAACTAGTTATGATGTTGGTGCACAAACACTCCTGCACCATGTGACCAAGATCAATGATAATGTTACTTTTAAAGGAATAGTCAATGAACATAGGTAGCAGAAAAGCAATCAAATTTAACAGAAGTAAAAGCTCTATTTATAGAAGGCAGGGGTGCAGATCAGTGAGTATCTCTGTCAAATACTTTATGTTGGTTTTAGCAAAACTGAGCTTCTGAGTCAGTCAACATTTCCCAGTGCAGAAGTTTTAAGGCAGCTGTGAGGCTGGACTGGAAACATCTTGCAGGATCCAATTCCTCTGGAACATACGAATAAAACATGAAAGGTTACGTTTGACCTCCCAGCGCAGGATGTATGGTATGCTGCCTTATCTGACGGCCGCGTGTCTCGAATTCTGACAACACTGACATTTTTGCTAAGAGCTGAGATGTGAAGACACCAGCAAGCTGTTAAAAATACCAGTAAGATTAATGTTCATTAAGACGTTAGGCTTCTCCATGCCAGCTCCATGATGGATGCAGGACCATGTAAAACAGAGGCAGCTTTTCATTCCTTCAGAGCACTTTTCAGGTGCTTGATTTAACTAATTATCTTTCTAATTGAGGTAACTTAGAGCATCTCTGCTCAGCGCTGAGGCCGTTTAAAGCCAGCTGAAAGACCCCAGGACTATGGCCTTAGGCCACACTGATGCACTTAATGTGTGGCAAGAGATACGTGTGATTCATTAAGCCCCATGGGGCACGGGGGGGGGGGGGGGGGGGGGGAGCAACCCACCCCCCCCCCCCACCACTCCCGCTTTTTTGTCGTTTTAAAAAAAGGGGGGGGGGGGGGGGGGGTTAGCAATGCTAGGGTGTACGTTCCCAGGGGTCGTGGAGGCTGAGCAGAAGAAGACCTCTCTGGTGGTTCCCGTAGCCCCAGACAGATACCCCACTGTAACCTTCGACACTCACACGGCGCCTCGCTCTGATTGGGGCACGCTCGTCACAGCTCAGAGAGCAGTCCGCCTCCTGGAGATTCTCACGCATTTCAGTACGGTATCCCAGAATGACCAAAAAGGAGGGCGGCTCAGAGGATGGGCAGACTGCATATACTCTCCACATGCCGCACCTGTGCCATCCCCTCATTACCGCCTAGACACCCTCCTTGTAGCACGTAAACATCTCAAAACACACAAGAGAAGCGGGCACACAAAGCTAAAAGGGTGCCAATCTTACTAAAAAGTCATTCCAATGAGCAGAGAGAAAGCTGCCTGTCTCACTTATACGTATAAGAAAAAATGTTACTTTTCTGGTGTTTTTTGTGACATTTATAATATTTTATAGCATTTTTATAATATAGCCCTAAGCCCTTTGTGCCCACTACTGTCCACTGTCCAATGCATGCATGCATTTTACCATCATCCTGGTGCTTTCCTTGGCACAGAGAGCTATGGCTTAATGCTACACAGCCAGATTGATAACTCTGCATCTGTTAAGGACTCACTGTGGAGTACATCATGTCAAATTGGCTAAACCATCCCTGTATTCCGACATCCTAACCGTAAGCCCAAGCACCACCTCACTAACAGGCTTCTCAGTAAGCTAAACTTATAACGATAGACTACAGCTCAGAACCGACCCCCCCCCTTAACGTTCATTTCTACATCACGGTATTTTTTTCCCCTGAACTCTACTGTGAGCCATGATGGACCCCTTCAGTAGAGAAGGGCCTTCAATTAAAGTAGCCAAGGTTAAAAATAAAAATATTGTAGCGCCGCCAGGGCGCATGTCCCAGCATGCCCTGCGTGCAGCTGTAAACAGCCCCTGTCTGTAACTGTAAATAGCCCTTGTTGTGTTATCATCAATGTTAATGGTTGCATTTCCCTGTTGTTGCGCGTGTGTTTGCCTGTGTACCCGGTCCGATCCTTGCCTGTATTTAGCTTGCGTAAATCTCCCACCGTGCGTGCATCTTGCAGTTCGCCGTCTTGTGTTTCAACTGTGTGTATTTGGTTCGGTGCTCCTTGGGTGCCTGTTATAGTCTCCTTGTCCCTCTCTGCTGTGGCGATGCCTCGGTCCGTCAAGTGCTGCAGTTTTTTTTCACTGTGTGCCTGGAGTATATTTAATTTTTTTTAAATGTGTAATATGGAATACCATAATTTCACAAATCCGATTAATGTCCCATACATAAAAAATGAATAAATGATAAATTAAACAGAAAAGGCTTTATAGATGTAGGCCTTAAAGCCTTTCCTGTAAAGTCTTATGTTGTGTGAGCTGGTTTTGTGTTTTTGTGGCTTTTTGTCTTGATTTTCAGGAGGTCACAGGTCTGTTGGTTGCAGAGGGGTGGGCTTTATCTGCTGATGTAGGCCAGATGGTCCGTTTCTGTTGCTCCTGCGCCTGTCTCCTTTGTTGATAAAAGCCGTGCCCACATGAAGAGGAGCGGCTCAGGATCAGCCCTTCTCAACACAGGGATGACAAATTAGGCTCTTTGCTCTTCTCCAGGTCCTGCCTAAGATGTGGAGGACACATCTCCTGAGGTGAGGTGCTGAGCACATCTCTGGACCTGGTCCCGAACATGATCGAGCTTGTGCACATTAAGGGGGCGTAATCTACGGTTCAGGTCTGAGTCTCTCCTCTTTCTGTCTTACAGTATGAGCATATCTTGACTGGCCTCATTCCTCCCACAAACCATTGTGTTAGTCAGATTTCCGTAAGTCATATTTACCTTCCCATAGCATTCAAGACACCTCACAGCATATAAAGCATACGCCAAATATATCTTAGTAATACTTACTGATTTTTAATGCTGAATCATCGCTGTGAGCTTAAGAGCTGTTTCACTCTCACCTTCTATTGGATGTTCACTACAAGCCAGGAGAACTGGGAATCTGCAAGATGTTGCCTTTGCAGCGTACAGCCCAGCTTCAGATGGCTCGCATATGTCGTAGGCTGCATTATTGCGTTTGCGCTTCCATAAGATCTACGCATCTTGGATTTTTTTTTGCATAAGTGTGGATTTACTTCAGTCAGTTTTAAGTAGGTAGGTGGTGAAGTGGCCTTTTCATTAGACCTGCCTGGGGTTCTGGGGTTCACTGGGGTTCACTGGGGTTCCAGCTACGGCCCTTTAAGGGCGTGAAGATGAGCCACACTCATTAGACGCTGGAGACACGCGTCTGCTCCTGCTGCGTAAAACCTTGCCGGGTGGGGATCAGCATGACTGTCCATCCCAAACTGTCCCACACCATCAAAGACATCAGTGGGCAAAAACAAAAAAACAATCTGACCAACAGTCCTTTAAGCAAGTAGCATTTTTGCAAAATGGAAGGCAGCGCTGAGTTATATTTTGGCATTTTTTTTGTTTATTTACATTCCTTTCCTTGCTCTTTCCCATTTATGCAGCTGATTTTTTTTACTTTACAGATTCAAGGATCCTGCTCTGAGCTACACAAACCCCAGGCCAGGACTGAAACCAGCAACCTCCAGGGTGGAAGTTCACAGCTTTACCTTGCATTCTGTGTGTATGGTCCTGGGTGGCTCCCCGGACCCCTGTCTGGCCTGTCTGCTGCCCAGCTCGGCTGCCTCCCTGTCCGGAAGATGCTCCATGGCTCTCCCACTGCTCATATTTCACAGGCCTGAGTGAGGCCTTGGTCTACAGGGACCCTGAACTGGAAGGAAATGAGGAAGAAGTATGGCTCTTTAAATCAGGCTGCCTCCCACCTCAGGGGAAGGACATAACGGTAACGACCTTCCTAAGCAATCAATCCCCGCGAGACCCAACACCGCCACGTCAAATGTGCTTCTCAGTCAGCATGGTGGTGGGTGGGGGGGGGGGGTGCAAGCAAGAGGGTGCATTTAGTGCGTGCGGCAGTCGATATTTGCACGTCTGCAAACACCCCGATCAGAATCGTTGGAGTCTACAAAGAGATTACTATTAATGAATAAATGAATAACTCTTCCTAGCATCACCCCAGTTTACTTACATTCACAATTTATTTCCATCCCACAGTGTTTCTTATGGTATGTAGACAGTCTAGTGTTAAAGGTATGTGTTTCATGCATTTCAGTTTCATGCCTACATACTTGTAAATTGTCCTGAAATGTCCTGCATGTTATATGGTATAACTGGGCGCCTCCCACCGAGGCAAAATGCTTGCATGTTTATCACACTCAGCCAGCAAAGATCTTTCTAATTCTGATAAAGTCAAGCACGTCTTTGCCGGCAGAATGCAATCAAGGCGGCCAATTATGAGGTCATTTCAAGATCAGCTTGGATTGGCTAATGCCCTGCATGGAAAATCACCTACTGTTTTGCATTAGTGGCCTTATTTCCTTTGTATGTTAACATGTTTAAGTGGGCCTGAGCCAAGCCGAGTCTCTTAGACACATATGGAGACGGCCTGGTGAACGGGGAGACAGACAAAGGGTATTAGCTTGGTGGGAGGGGTGAGGTCGGGTTGGATTTGGTTGGGTTGTGTTGGCTGAAGTGGAGGGGGGGGTGGCTCCCTGGAAGAATAAAGACTTGCTCCTGGGTGCCTGGTGCCTTCTGTCTGCCTGGGGAGTGACGAGGAGATGAGGGCTGGCGGCCAGGGGCCGGCCTGGAGAGAGCCGGCAGCTGAGAGGGCGACCCGGGCTGGGGATGAATATGGATGAGAGGTCTGGTCGTCCCTGTGGTTGACGGCAGCGAGATGGATCTCGGTGGTTGAGTGAGACGGAGGCAGGTGGGCTCACACAGACCCCCACGCGATGGCCTGACAGGGCCCCACTGTTCACTATAATTAACGCTTCCCCCTCCTGCAACACCAAAATGGAGTTTGGGGGGTGGGCGAGGCATCCAAGCCCAAGTGGGGATGGATCCTGACTAATAGACAGGGCCTCAGATGAGACAGGCAATGTTTTATTTATGAGAGTGGGGCGCACACTGCGTACGTGTCTGTGTCTGAGTGTGTGTGTCTGAGTGTGTGCGTCTTGTGTAAATGTGGTTAGCTGGATGAGAACCTTGAACATGTGATTTCCAGATCAATATCCTAGACAGACAATCAGTTCAACCAGAGCAAGGGGAAGTCTAATTCCTGTACTCCGCCTGAATTTAAACTCTCTTTTGCCATGTATTTCATAATATGTAGGCAAATACTAAATATATAGGAGTATGTTTTGTTTAGAAATGACTTTATTAATAATAGTTAAGGTCATTTTTAAAATGAATGTGGATCAGTGTTGGAACATTGCACTGAACTGCCCGAGTACCGTGGTGTGTGATAAGGGTTTCATTGTACCGCGCTTCAGGCTGTAGGGGGCGCAATAACGCAGCATCCACTCGAATGTAACGTGGTCTTAAGCCACATTGCCAGCAAACAAACAACCAGCATGATACTGGCAGTGATATAAAATCGCAAGAAGACCCATACAGACCACGTCGTGCTCACATCGACATGCCTGGTCCAAACCTCAGACAGGGGTCATCAATTTTCGCAGCCCCCAGCCCCCACCATCCTTTACCCATTTGATTACTTCTCTTATCTGGTCCGCCTGTCAATTCCTGTGACTCCAACATGGGTCTCCGGATGGGAGATGATAACTATTAAGAGTAGCCTGTCACACGATCATAGCAGCTCATTAGAGAATCCTGTTCTCATGGCACATCGCAGTCAGAATCAACTCACTCTGCTTAAAGTACTTATGGCTTTTGCAAAGCTTGATACTTAAACCCTCTGGATAGCATGGTAAGGGTACTGCTGTAGATGGACACCTTTAGGGCATCTACCCCTGGCTCTGTATGTGGAGTTTTGCTATGGCGTCTACCTAAGGGCCAAAAATGTGTTCCAGGTCGCTAGATGTCACTGAGTCACCTATTGTGTATGTGTGTGCTGTGAGGGTGTTTGTGTGCTGTGAGGGTGTTTGTGTGCGTGAGGGTGTTTGTGTGCTGTGAGGGTGTTTGCTGTGCTGTGAGGGTCTTTGTGTGCTGTGAGGGTGTTTGTGTGCTGTGAGGGTGTTTGCTGTGCTGTGCACTGGTGCCTGGTCCGGGGACTTACTAGACATTCTGACCCCCCTGAGAAAATGTCACCTTGGGATTCCCCGCCCCCCTTTTATGTTGTATAATTGAATGTATTCAAGGTCCCCTGTAAAGTGTTGGGCCCCCAGAACCTGGCGCCCCGTGCCTGGTTCCTGGCCCGGTACTGTCCGGCGCAGGCTCCAGAGAAATAGGATACATGTTCAGTCGCAGGAAGCACACTGTCCTCTCTGCTGTACAGGCAGCGCAACTGCCGCAAACCATCACTCACACAAAGCCTTACATAAGTTTTATGCAATTTAGATTTATCTTCCAAAGTACTTTAGAAGAAACTGATTTGCCAGAAATATACTAGTATAATGTACTAAAAACAGATTAAATACATGAAAAGAAAAAGTGTAATTTTACTTCCAGACACATGTTGCATTGACGCTTCTGCAACCTCTGTGAATCTCGTATATTTTTTCACACAAGTCCAGGTTCATTTAAGCAGGTTTTAAGTGGAGAGCTGCCTGTTTTAGTATCATCGCATGTCTTGAACCACAGAGATCATTCCCATTATTATTATTTTTATGATTATTGTCATTGTATTATAATTATTATGTCGAACACCTGCAAACCCATAGCCGGCCTTGCTGTAAGTAAAAGCTGTTTCTCTCTCCAGCATTAACGTGGCTTGCGCTCCCTGAAGATAAACATGCTGCAAAAGCTACCATCACACAAAAAGGCTGCATTTTCACACTAATTACAACGAAGGAGCCGCTTGACCTAAGCTCATGTGCATGAGTGGTGTCTCACTCTAGGTCATGCGGCCTCAGAAGAACCATCCATGACGAAGAGTCATCTATTATTCCGCTTCAGTTTGGGGAAATGATAAAAATGACTCCCCATGGCAAAAAAAACTCCACTCAGTCACTGATACACATCACCTCCCAACCCCTTCCCTCCCGGATCAGCACCACACCAAGTGACTGACAGCTAGCAGACGGCAGATCGTAATTACGGCCCTGCCAATCCAGGGCAGCTACCGGCCTCCTGCCGGGGGCCCTCGATTGATCACGTCTGACTGGAGTGGGATGAGGGTGGGACTGGCCAGGAAGGGGGGGCTGATGTGATACCCTGTTGGACCGGTGATTCTGATTCAGCGGCTGTTGGGCATAGTCTCATATGCCGGTGGAAGCGGCACTATGGAAGAAAGCGGGTCACCAAACCGAGGCTCTCGGTTTCATCACCAGTGGGGCCCAGACGTCCTCCCTGAGCCTTTTTTGGACTCTTTACTTACATCTGAGGCAGTCGGCAGGTCGGCCGGAAAGTGACACTGCGTTCCAACCAGGCTGTAAACATTAAAGCGAGGAAGAAGCGCCGTTCAACAAACTGCCCTAAGAGAAAAAAGCAGGAAATACCCCACTGATGCTGAAAACGTTAATGCCGGCCATGATAGGAAGGTGTCAGAGCACAGAGCACATCGCTGCTTGCTGTGTTAGGGGCTGCGAGGCTGCAGATCGGTCAGAGGGCCCATGCTGACCCCAGTCTAACGCTGCGCCTACAATGGGCATGTGAGAGTCAGAACTGGACCATGGAGCGACGGGAGAAGATGGCCTAGTCTGATCAGTCACATTTTCTGTTACATCATGAGGACGGCTGGGTGTGTGTTGTTTACCTGGGGCAGAGATGGCACCAGGATGCACTATGGGAAGACAGCAAGGTGGCAGAGGCAGTGTGATACTCTGGGCAATCTTCTGCTCGGGTTCAGGCATTCATGTGTATGTTGCTTTGAGACATACCATCTACGTAAACTTTGTTGCCGACCAAATACACCCCTGCTATACCAAACTCAATGGTATTCCCTGAAGGCAGTGGCCTCTTTCAGCAGGATAATGCGCCCATCACTCAAGAATGGTTTGAGGGACATGAAAAAAAGTTCAAGATTGACTTGGTCTTCAAATTCCCCAGATCTCAAGCTGATCGAGCATCTGTGGGACGTGAGGACTTGAAGTATCTGCTGCTAATATCTTCATATACCACAGGACACCTTCAGAGGTCTTGTGGAGTTCATTCCTTGATGGGGAAAATCACTGGTCACTGGGCCATTTTTGGTGGCTGAGGACAGCAGATCTTCCTTGCTGATGAGGACCAGGCTCAACCCCTGATAGAGCAACACCCAGTACCTGAAAAGCCAAAATGTAAATGTTCAGCTGGTGTGATGAACTTGCTGGGGCCGGGGCGGGGGGGCTGTTGGGTGGATGGTGAGGTGTGGCTCAAGGGGGGCAGCGGTGATTTTCGGGAAGGATGCAGAGGGCTTGGTCAGAGATGTATGGATTAACAGCAAGGGGTTTGGGTGGGGGGGAAACAAGGCTTTCAGAGATAATTCTGTACGTGGGATTGGCAGGGAATGTGAAAAGCTTGGCTGGGAATTCGACTGATGCTGTTGACGTGTAGAAGCCCGATTGCATCCATCATGGGCCAGGGGGACTTCTGATACATTATATGGAGGATAAGCTGAACAGAGAAATCTGTTCCTTACCAAGGAAAAAAACTTCCATGTGTAGTAAGAACTGAAGCTATTGATATATTATTCATTCACGAGTTTAGACTTTAAAAGTTCAGAAAGATGTAGTGTGTAGCCTGTTTTAATTAGGATTAAAAATGAAGAAACCTTCCTCACTGCAGGCTTCATGTTACAACAGTGTGGCCTGCAGCCGTCATTAAAATTAACACAGGTGGCAGAATAAAGATTATTTATGAAGTATGCCTGCATGCAGATTACCATGAGTGAGCTGGACTCTCACCTACCGCTTCAAGGGAGGAGGTCCGGACCAGCGGACTGGCATGGGATGGCACCATCTCTGCCCCTTTCTGCTGCCAGCCTCGGCGGTCGATTCAGCGCTGGGGCACTGGCTGAGGGAGTTAGCTCATGGGGAATTAGCTTCCTTTTCGCTATCAGTAAAGCACCGGGAATCGTCGCCTGACGATGAAGGCACCTCACAACACCACCTCAGCTGCGCAGGATAGGATCAGATCAGGATGCCTACAGATTTCCTATAATTCCAGCCTCTCCCTTTGGTGTCTTCCGCTCCTCTCAGTGGGAAGGGGGCGGGGAAGCAGGAGTGAACAACCAGAAGGTTCCGGCGGAGTGCGGCAGCGGGTGTTTTGCCGCTCTTTGTTCTGCAAAGCTGTGTTTGAAGCCAGAGGGAGGCACCGAGGGAGGGAGCGGACGCCTCACAGGCTGCCGCGGGACGGGCCAGAGCTGCCGCCACGTGCTTGTCTGGGAATCGCTGCGTGGGCCACAGCGGCATGGCTGTTCATCCAATTACCAGAACAGATGTGCAATCAGGCTCACTCTGTGTGACTTTGATTAAAGAAAATGCGATGTGGCCAATGTAGCGTTTTTAAATTAAATCTGCGCAGTGCTGACCCCTATGGGCTGGAGGCCAACATACCTGTGTCACCACTGTACACTTGACCTGCAAACCCAGTAATGGGGAGTGAGTAATATTTTCCTGTCTGGGGGGGGAGGTTTCCGATCCTCCATTATGCTGCAGCTGTGGAGGCCCAGGAGGGTAATGTTTGTAATTATTGCAAATAAAATAAAATTGGTCTGGGAGAGTTAGAGATGACAGACATGCCAGTATGCAACAGGCAGCATGAATGGCCGCCACATGCAGGGCAACAAAAGCCCAATCCATTCACAATTAAGCGGGAACCTGTTCAGATGAAGGTCCAATATAAAGGAAGAAATGTCTGCAAAATAAATAATTCACACTGGGCAGCAGCTGGCCGAGTGACGTACGGAGCCCAGTGGCTGCTGGTAGAAGTGACCCTGCTGTAAAACTCCTGCCTCCGTATGACAGATTAAAACCTGCACACAGCGTCGGGAGAAGCGAAGGAGCGCTTTTCTCTGCATCTCTGCCTCCAACGGTGTTCTAATGATATGAAGATCATGCTAAAGAACATGCTTATCAGACGTGGCGTACAGATAGGGTGTTACATATACTCACACCCCTGCGAGGACGATATTTCCAACTGGGAGGCCGCCAACGGGTAGGATGCATTAAGACTGCAGTGGGCAGGTGGTGACGTCCTTCATGTTTACCACTGCTGGGGGAGGAAACATCTATCCAGAAATAAAAGACAAAGGTCAAAAGGTATAGGTGGTAATATATGCATGAAATGCAAGACGGGGTGGTACAAGCTGTAAGATGTCAGCTGTGGCGGGAGGGGAGATGTTTGGGAATTGACAGTTAGTAATACGTTGATCAGTTTGTGGCAGGTAACCAAAGAGGGACACTCACTGGTGGTAGTGGGGGCTGGGGAGGCCGGAGAAAGACAAGAGAAGAGCCCACTGATACCCTGTAGTAGCATCAACATCACCAACAAAGCGGGTCTCATGGTATGGTTCAGCACACATGTATGGACCTACCTCCTCTCTACCGCCCCCACCAGGTGGGGGAACAAAGGAACAGGAGAACGTTCTGCTAGTTCCTCCGCCTGTAGCTCTGTCCTTACAATCCTGGACTCAATCCTGAGGCAGGAAGCGGGAAATGGCAAAAGGGGTGGGCGGGGAGGCATCCAATCACTCGGTACCCGTAAAAATCAGATGAAAGAGCCGACTGCCGGGGAATTCACAACACCACCCCCTCCTCGTTCCATTTCCCCTGCACAGACACTATGCAAATGTCCCCCCGCACATCTGAAACATTCTTTAATTTGACAGATTTCAATACACAGCCAGCCCTGCTCCTTGCCGGAGCAGAAACCATCACTCTGCAGTCGCTCTCTATAAATTTTAAATAAGCCTTTACAAAAACAGACTGCTTCCCGCAAGCTGCATCTCTTATTTCAATATAAGAAATAATACCGCACAGAATTGTTATGGAGACCCTCCCCCCAAATCCTCAGTACCCCCCCCACCCATGCACACACCTCTCACAAATCTGCATAATTTCCTTAAACATATTCTGATGTATGCGTGTGAATAATAAGGTGGGCTCCGGTGCAGGGGGGGCTTCCTGCCGTTCATTACGGTTTCGTGCAGCCGTGGCCGGCCTCCCTCTGGGCTCCTCGTTAAGGAACTCCAACCCGAATTGAAGGCTCTGTCTCTCCCAGCTGCCCCATGGCCAAACCAGAGCCAACCAGCGTGTGCAGGAGCCACAGGCAGGGGGCGCCAGGGAGATGCTGCCTTTGTGAATGGTGGCACTGTTGGGGGGGGTGAAAAAACATTCTGGGGACAGTCAGTGCAGTTTGTTTCGCCACTGCTGTGACTCCTTTCAAACGCAGTCAGGAGTCCGAGCACTGAGCAAAGAGATTCTCTCTGTCGAGAGGCTTTTGGCAAAGTGGGTCCTGATCAATTTCCATTGTCATTAACACAGCTCCCGTGATTATTTCTGAAAGACATCTTGCTCAGGAAAACCCATCTCCTGATCTTTGTTGTTCCACAGAAAATCACGGGCTATGAGTTCGAACTCGGACGCGCTGCTCTAACAAGCTCATGTCTTGCATGAATAACCTTGACCCAGACTCCTGATTGACGCAATGCCTTGACCAAAATGGGCTCAATTCTCTACCCAGATTTCCCGTCTGACCACAGGGCTCCAAGGCTCGTCTGGCCATGTACCCACCTTGCCTTCTGAACGACCTTTGTGTCTGGTACATGATTGGGCAGACCGGTTGACCCAGGAAGGGGTGGGTCGAACCTCCACCTATTAGGAGCTGAAGAAGAGGAGCGTAGACTCAGTGTCTCCAGGCCAATTGTCATTAGACAAATCTCATTGGTCCAAATCCGGGGTGGGCAACCGGTGACAGGCCTTTGGTACTGCATTATTTTCCTCGGAGCAGAATACAGGAGGCCCCTCTGCTCGCCCCCTGCTGCAGACACTTTCATAAATTGTTGCGAGGGACCTGGTATCCATTTAGAAAAGGGGTCAACTGCAGAACAGCAGCGAACGTGCAGTTTTTCTTTGCGACGGAGACTACACATGTGACATCACATCGTATGCCAACCAAGCGCATAGCAACACATGATCTGCAAATAACTTCTAGTAGATATAAATAATAGCACGCCAGTGACAAGCAGCCAGCCTTGCTCTTGGCTTAACAAAAGACCTTGTGGGTAACCTGGTTAGCTGGTGCCACCCCACCGCTCGCAGTTTGCTGCTCGTCAGCCTTGTGAGTGCAGCTCAATTATGGTACACACCTCTTCAGCTGCATCAAACGCTAATTATACCATTAATGAGAGATTTCAAATGTCAGAGCCTTGGATAACGGGGTCTTGTGGCGCTTTTCTCTCGCCACCAAGAAATGAACTGTACCTGAGCCGTACCGTAAACTGGCAGTTTTCCATTGTACATGATTGAAGCCCAACCTAAGCCGTATCTGCGCAGACGTGGCCCCGCTTACTAGCAGGGCCGAAAGCATAACCAAACTGAGCTGGTTGCAGCACCACCATTTGATTGGTCGAAATGCACGGACATAGAGGTGCATAGCAGAATAACAAAACAAGCATCCGGTCTTGGGCTATGTAGGAGCCCAGGAATCGCGGTGCAAGTGTGTGTCTTGGAGTGTGAGTAAAAGCAGAATCCAGCTTTATATGATCAGTAATGTGGCACAGGAGAAATTAATGGATGTTCTCTTCACCCACAAGGTCCACACCTGCATCTTACAGACGGATCTTTAAAAATCATTTTCCATTTATCCCTCATTCCAGCTGAAATAAATAACCTCAGTACTTTTTTCCAGGTTTCACATGCTGCCAAATATTAACAAGACCAAAGTTAACACTGTTGTAGCAAGTATAATATGTTAAGCCTGCAGAAGTCGTCCTCTCTGGTCCAACTCTCTCCAAACAAAACAAGACCAATGAAAGCAGTCACTAAAGAGGAAACCTTTGTACAGAAATCTCCACAAAGACTTCCTATCCATTCCATCTGCCACGCCTGATTCAGCTTCAAGACGCAGGACACACTAAAAGCAACCCCTTTCACATCAGCCAATGCTATCCAGCCATACCCCCAAAGCCTGTCTGTTACTTAAACCAAACCAGTTTGGGCAGTGAGTGGCTCATGCCGTAGCCCCAAGCTATGGAGAGGCACTGCACGACACTGCACTGTGACCCCCAAGCTATGGAGAGCAAGATGGGGTAGGTGAAGAGAAGCATTCCAGTGTGCCAGTACTTATGCAAATGGCAAATAATAATAACAATAATAATAATAATAATAATAGTAATAATGGCTGATTCTGAACACACCTAAGGGTGTTCCACAAACCAAGATTTCTCAGTTAGCTAGGAAAACATAAGCTATAAGTCATGATTGTCCAATAGGAATGCTCCTCACTCAAACTCTTATTGGACAATCATAACTTGTAGCTTAAGTTAACCCAGCTAACTGAGAAATTCCGTTTTTTTGGAATACTCCCCATCGGTATCCAGGGCTACCAAGCATGAGATCTGATGGATTTCCAGGCCATTGCCAAGGTATAGCAATACCCAAGGGTCAGCAAGAGCACTGGACTGGCCTTGCACTTAGTCTTGTGAGGCCTTGCCATCCCACTGCCGACAGATGGTGTAAAAACATCATGCTGTCCATTATTGCCCAACATGCTATCGTAGTGCTACAGCTGTGCTGGTCCAGGCGAAATGCTCCACAGCCGCTGTGCCTAGGCTTTGCTCGCTAATGCCCCACAGCCGCTGTGCCTAGGCTT